AATTCCCCAAAACCCCAAAACCCCAAAACCCCATATCTTGAAATCAATTCAAATTTTTATTTTAGTAAAATTATAACTAAATTGATTTAAGTACCTTTAATGGAGTTCTTTCTTTTATTTGGCCCGCAAATATTCAAAAATTCCTTCGAAAACAATGCTTTTGATAAATTAGATTTAAAAAATATTATGATAGGGCCTTAGACGCCAATTATTTTAATGAGACATCCTTATGACATTATAATAGAAGATAAGCAATTCATTAATTTAGCAAAATTAAGTTTACCTAGACTTGCAATACAGAATATAGCATCATCGGAAGATATAAATGCTAATCTAACTTATACAATGACTAAAGAGAATGGTAATAGATATTATATGGTAGCAAAAGTGATTTCTATTGTATTAAAAAGTGCAGATATAACTCAAGAGTTCTTTCCAGATGTAAGATTTGATCTTTGCTTTGCAATTATAAGTGACCATTAAAATTCTGAGTCATAATTGAAATATCTAGATTATGTGAATGAGAGCATTCCGAAACACCTTGATTAATAATCAAACCACTTAGAATAATTAATTGATAAGATAAATTACGATTTGTGTATATACTTTGACATCATGAATTTCTAAGATAACTAGAAAGTTGTTTAAAAAATTCTCAAATATTCAATGAAAGCCCCAGAATAGATATATTCTTAAATAAATACAGAAGGTCTTCTAAGCTATATAAAAGGTGATAAATTTACTAGTTATTTGATTTAGACAGTAATAAGATTACCCTTAGAGATTTTATTTGAAAAAATTTCTGTCAATAGTTTGGTAGATTTATACCATAGTCTTATTCTTGACAAAAGAATTATAATAATCTCGAAAGAAATCAATACAATTTCAACTATTATTGACTGTTTATTGTCTATACTTTACCCATTAAAAACTGGAACTTATTCAGTTATCCCAATTATTAAGTAAAGTTACATTGAATTTCTAGATGCCCCGGTGCCATACATAGTAGGAGTATAAAAGTCCACATGGGAAAATGATCTTTCAATCCAATAACTTAGGCTATTAGAATTAGATACTTAAATAATTGCATATAATGTTGATTAAGACATTTTTGTAATAGGGGAGCCAAGAGTACTAAACAGGTCTAAATATCTTAAGAAGAGTTTAGCTGATTTTAAAATAGGTATGAGTCTCGTTCATATTTATACATAGAGAATGATGATATTTTAAGTATTCTACAATTACTTTTTGAGAGTGCTCTAGAATATAAATAAGTTTCAAAATTTTGGAATATTTGAACCAGAATCATATATTGATTAAGAGGTTTCTAAGCAAGAGGATTAATCATACTATCAGGAGTTTTTTCAAACCCTGATATTTTTATCTTCACTCCAAGATATTTTAGACAATTTAGCTGAGAGAGATACTAGATCTATTAAGGAAAGCCTTGAACTTTAACATTAGTAAATTCAAAAAATAAATTATCTCATCTAGACAAAAGCTCATTTAGTAAGCCTTGAATAGTGTGATAAACTAATTGAAATGCAGAATAAGCTTAAAAAGAAATAAAATAACTAAATTATGGTTAAGGATTTGATATAAATAGACACTAGCATTAAGAATGAAATTAAAGAGACAGTAGATAAAAATAAAAAGGAGAGATATTCATTAGTTTAACCTAGCTCTTCTTCATCGAAAAAAGATAAGTTAAACAAAAGGTAAATGAATAACTTTTAGAGACCAAGGAGATCACCTGAACAAAGTAAGGTGAATGTACCTGCAAATTAAAACTTCAACAACACAATCAATAGTAATAGTCCTAATAGAGATTCTAGGAAGATAAGGAACTCAAGTCTAGAAAAACCTAAGAAATCTAATGCTCTTATGAAAAAGCGTAGTAGAGATAGTAGCAATGAAGAGACCAACTAATATTTCCTATTCAAGAAGGAGTTGGTATTGTAGAATCCAAAATTTATTTAAAGCTATGAAAGTTCAAGGACAAGTATTGGACCTAAATTGATGAACAATCACAATAAGAAGAAAACTCCTAGTCCTCCTGTTTATCAAATAAATTTAAGTGAACTTGCAAATTTAAGCAGTAATTAGAAACCTATTGCCAAAGGACTAAACTAATTTCATACAAATCGAAAATAAGATCCCAAATAATTTAAGTCTTTATCTCCAAGAGGCAATTTTGTTTCAAAATTTAGCAAAAAATCCAGTCAATAACTCCCAATAAACTTAGCGAAAAAGTATGTTCTCTAGCAATAACTGATGCAAGGAGGTTTAATTAACCCATCTCCCTCTCCAAATATATCTCAAGATTTAAAATTATAATAGTAATATCAAACTGCCAAAGTCCAAAAGAAAAGTAGCCACACTAAACTTACAAAGTTTGATAGCCAAAAGCTTTTGATATAACCATCGATAGCTTAAAGATAGAAGAATCCGGATGACGAGGTTTCAACTGAGAATTTATCTTTTATGCATGATGACCTTGAGGAAGAGTCTAAAGTTCACTAAGTATATACGAATAAAAATAGGCAATATGCAGCAAGTATACACCAGTACTATCAGCAAAATACAGATCCTCCAAGACTTGAGAAGTAAAATTCAAAGAAAAGTAAAGATAGAAGCAGATAAAGTCCATATAGAGAAGTAAGAGATTTTTCACAAAGACTTAAAGCAGGCAGCCATATGGTATTTGGATTTGATAGCAGCTCAAAGTTATTTCAAAGTAACAGCCGACAAAATCTAAATTATCAATTGAACAATGATTGACAATTATTTAAAATAAGAGTATCTTAATTTCATAAATTATAATATAATAAGGCTTAAGTAAATAATTTAGTTCATTTCACTTTGCTGACTCTGGTTGTAAGCACTTCCAAAACGGTTAAAGTAGTTTTCTCAAATAAGCATTAGGTTCTCTGAATTCTTTTGCTGCTTTCTAAAGACTCTTCTCTGATAATTAGTTGAAAGTTTATTCAGATGACCATCTTTTTTCTATGTATTTGTCAAATGATTCTTGATCGTTTGGATCTATCCTCAAAGTCGAAATTACAGCTTCACTGCTAAGTGCAAGAGCATCAAGATTATAACCACCTTCAAGAAGCACAACAATGTCAGGGCAAATTTTCATTAATCCATAAGTCATCCAAGAATATCCTAGTGGGGTCACTCCAATACCTCCTAATGGGTCTCCTTTAGCAGAATCAAATCCGCATGAAATTAAGATGGCTTCAGGACCGAATTCTTTTATTATTGGGAATAATAAGTCTGTGCAAGCGTAGATGTATTCCATATCAGAAATGTTTTTATTCGAATAAGCAGAAAATGCGAAGTGAATATTGAAGCCTTTTCCTTTCTCTTCCCCGATCAAATCTGGTGATCCAGCTTTACCAGGATAAAACATACCATCATCATATCTATGCAATGAGATATATAGTACAGAGTCATCTTAGTATAGAATTTGGGATGTTCCATCTCCACAGTGAATATCCCAATCAAAAATACATATCTTCTTCATCCCAAGCTCTGATTATAAATATTTTGCAGCAACAACAACATTATTGAATAAACAAAATCCTGATATCTTCTCGCATGAAGCATGATGACCTGGTGGTCGGATAGCTGCAAAAGCAGCATCCATTTAGCCTTCTTACGAATAAACCTATTTGCATGCTTCAACCGAAGCACCAGCAGCTAAGTAAGCACACTCTTTTGTGTATTTATTGACGTAGACATCATTATCAATGTAATGAGTTTCTTTTGCTAGTTTAGGAACTTCATTTCCTCTTCTTAGTTCTTTGGAATTATAAATACTCAAATCTACTGTGTTAATAAGACTCTAGTCGTGTGTCATCTTCAAATACTTCTCATCAACTGACTCAAACTCAATCTTTGGAAGCTGTTTAAGTATTTAAGTTTTTTCTAAATGAGTATAGATTGACATTAATCTTGCTGGTCTCTCAGGATGATCTCTCTTAAAATTTTCGTGTAAGAGCATAAAATTATCGAATGCAAAGCCAACTTGTCTTGGTATATCAGGATAGACTCGTTCTCTTCTAATATACATGTTTTCTTTCGTTTCTTCTACTGTACTCTCATTTCCCCCTGAAGCTTATTAATTCTCCTCTAAAGTCATTTGCTTGAGAGTCTCAATAACTTCTTTCATTTCCTCCATTTTATTATCTTTTAATCTATTAAAAAATCAAAGTCTAATGTTTTAAATAATTAAAGCAACAAATATAATTAATAAAGAGCTTAAATTCAGAAATTATTTCGATTTATTTTAAATATTAAATGACAAACTTATATAATTTATTTGAGTTATAAAGTTTTATGATTTTATTCTGCTCTAAGGGGTTTTGGGGTTTTGGGGTTTTGGGG